CCCCCCCCCCCCCAGAAATGAATTCGTAAGAATTTTTAAGAAGAAGCTAGATGTGAGTTGTGTGGTAAGTAGCATTCTGGGATCCCAGCATTCTGGGAGGCTGAGGTAAGATAATAGAAAGTTTGAGCCCAGCCTGGGCAACTTAGTGACTTAGTAAGACCCTGTCTCAAAGTAAAATTTTTAAAAAAGGACTGGGAATGTAACTCAGTGTTAGTGCTACACACACCCACAAAAAATTTTTAAAATGAGATTCTTCTAGACCAGCGATGGTGAACCTTTTAGAGACTTGAGTACCCAAACTGCAATCCCAAACCCACCTATTCATTGCAGTGTCAACTCTGCAATTAAACCTGAATACTGAGGTTTTAGTTTAGAAAATACAAAAACAAAAACTTAATACATTAGTAGCTTTTGACTGAAAAGAAAAACATAACAGCATTTTCAGTGATACAAAGAGGTGCTGCTGCTACTCCTTTTGAAACATTTTCCCTTCTAATTCACAGAAAGAAGTAATTTGGTGTTTAGATTACATTGTCTGTCTTTTGAAAGTGAAAAATATGTGAACATATACAACACATTCGTATATACATACACATGTACATACAAATGTACTTGAGTTAGATGTTTCACCTAAAGTGAATCAAACTCTTGGGTTGCTTTTGGCAGAGCTTTGAACACTCAATGTATTTTATGAAATTTTATAAATAAATAGAATTTATTTATTTATTTATTTTTATTTTTTTTTTGAGACAGGGTCTCACTATGTAGTTGAGACTGACCTGGAACTCTGTATGTAGCCCAGGCTTGTCTCGAACTCACAGCAATCTTCCTGCCTCAGCCTCCCAAGTGCTGGGATTACAGGGCTGCGCCAGCACGCCTGGCAATAGATAGAATTTTACGTTAAAGCCTAAAGTCATAAGGTGCAGTGATGCTTCATGCACCTTGAAGTAGTTACAGCTTGTTTGTTTGTGATGGGAAATTGAATCTATGGCCAAGTACATGCTAGGCAGGCACTTACCACTGAGCTGTGTCTCCAGCCCAAGTTCTGGATTTGATAGAACTGAAGGGAAAAATAGTTACCTTCATATAGAAATATTATAGAAAAAAAAAGGAGATGGGCTGGACATATTGAATTCTAAATAAACTGCATTAAATTTTCGAAAAGTTGTGGGACTAGTTGTTTATTAAAACAAAAGTTTTAGAGTTGTGTACTTGGACATAATTAGAAATAGAAAACTCTTTAACTGTAGTTTTGTGTGTATGTTATTAAAGTTTGATGTTAGGTCTCATTCATAGTAGTCAAGCGCTCTACATCCCTAGCCCTAGGATTGTCTTTTAAGTCAAGTAGCACTTTTTTTGACTATTCTCTGGGCTTATCCTTTGGGAAGATTTATCACCCCTGTGTCATTGAAGCTCTACTATGTTTTAACCCTGATGACTTCTAGGTTACTGTTAACTCTTTAAGTATGTTTTGAAACTTTTTATAAAGTAGGTCAGGGATGGGATTTGCAGCTGAATATATGTGCATATAGCAAGGAATATATTACCAACATTGCTGCAAAAATTAAAATTTTCTAAAAGAAGGTATCGATATTATGAAGGATTTGAGGAGTAGGGTTGTCCAAGGCCTTGTTCATTGCTAGGCCAACACTCTACCACTTAGCTACAGTCTTAGCCCCTAAATATTTTGTGTTTTTTTTGTTTGTTTTCTTTTGAGATGGAATATCTCACTGTATTGTCCTTCCACTTTAGCCTCTTGAGTGCTGGGACTTTTAAGTGGATGCCACCATGGCTCTGTCATGAGTTCTTAACTGGAAAAGTGTGTGTATATTGTGGGCGGAGTGGAGACATTCTTTGGGGGAATGACCTGGAGTTGAATGAATCTATAACCCTGAAGTCTGAACACTTTCATAGATTGCCTTTCACGGCCCATAGATAATATTATAGAGGACTTTTTTTAATGTAGGAGTCATACTGTCTTTGTGTTTCTTGTATTGCCTAGTAATTGCTCAATAGGCAATGAGTAATAAGTTATCATTGTAAGGCCTTTTTTTTTCTTTTAGTAAAGTGGAAGATTGTTATACCTATCTGTATGATATATCTATCTATTTTGATTCCTACTCCAAAATGGCAATTAAAATATTAAAATAAACACTAAGTAGTTTTAGGTAATATTAGCATTTTTGTTTGATAATTTTTTGAAGCACTTAAAATTATTTGGTCTTATAATCTTGTGTTTTTTTTTGTTTGTTTTTTTTGAAGCACTATTTATATTAAATTGGAAGCTAATGTACGCTTTTCCCCAAGGCTGCTTATTCATCTGTACTGCTTAGTAAATAAACACAATTACTGTTTTTAACAATAATTTATGTTAGAATTGATAACATAATTCAGTGGGAATGGAAAGGTTTTTTTTAAATGAATTTGGAGAAAGTAATGCTTATTTTATCCTCCACCCATAATTGGCGTGTAATGTTTTGTTATCTGATTCAATTTTTACTTTATTAGAAATTCTTGATAGATACAAGGAAGTTTATGATAGGATCTGAAATAAAAATATTGCCAACTTTTTTTTTTTTTTTTTTTTACAATGAAAATGTTTCATCTTACAATTTTCTTGTTTCGTTTTGAGACAAAAGTTCTTTCAAAGCCTAACAGTGGTATGGAAAGCACAGCTTTTTCTTTTTTCTTTTGGCTTTAAGAATGCAGTAAAAGTACAAAAGCAGCCTAACACAGGCTAGAAGAGTATCCAAGTCTCCTTTGTGTTTCCACAGTCAGGATGAGTGCAGGACTAGCACAGGGACTTCCTTCCTGTATTCTATAAAATCTTGTTTCTTACACTAGGTTATAGGTTTTAATCCAGTTATGTATTCTCATATTTCTTCTACAGCACTGATAGAAGGTAAGTTCCTACTGATGCAGTTCCAGTTCTAGAAGTTAATTTTTAAAAGGGAGGGAAATACTAATTTTCCTTATATTTATTACCTTTGGGAAATTTAAGTGATACCTCAGGATTCAGGAAATATACAGAAACACTTAGATTTTGATGTGAATGTTACAGGTTTGTACCCTTTAAAGGAGGATAGAATTAAGTGCTTTTCTATCTCGATGCTTGTTTTAGGGGTGGTGGAAGGTGATTTAGCTGCCATAGAAGCCTACAAGTCATCAGGAGGAGATATTGCACGTCAGCTCACTGCAGATGAAGTGCGCTTGCTGAACCGTCCTTCTGCCTTTGATGTTGGCTATACTCTGGTACACTTAGCTATACGTTTTCAAAGACAGGATATGCTAGCAATATTGCTTACAGAGGTAAGTGTGGCATTTTGATTAGATATTCTTTTATTCTAAGGAAATGTGTTCTTTAGTATTAATTTTTGATATTATAATGTTTCTCTAAACAGTCCTTAAATATTTTATATATTATTACCCACATTTAAGAAATAATGTTGAGCTGGGCGTAGTGGTGCATGCCTTTAATCGCAGCACTTGGGAGGCTGATGCAGGAGGATCTTGTGAGTTCAAGACCAGCCTGGGCTACATTGTGAGCTCCAGGTCAGTCTCAACTACATAGTGAGACCCTGTCTCAAAAAAAAAAAAAAAAAAAAAAAAAAAAAAAAAAAAAAAGAAAAGAAAAATGTGAAACTCAAGCAATTTCAAAAATATGTAATTTTTTTGTTGTTGTTTCAGAGTCTTTCTGTGTAGTTCATGTGGCCATGAACTCAACGATATAACCCAGGCTGGTCTCAGTATTGTACTGATCTTACTGTGTTGGGATTGCAGGTGCACACCACCATGCCTGACTAACAGTATACAATTTTTAGGGGCATGTGCTTTTAATTTTTTCCTTTCAGATGAGTTATTACTGTGTTGCCTGGGCTGAGCTCAAAACTCCTGGGCTCAGGTGATCTTCCTGCTGCAGGTTTCTGGGTAGCTAGGACTGCAAACACACACCATTGCTCTCAGCAGCATATACTTTTAAAGCAGGAGATTTTGCCACACTACTTCAATCAAACATTACTTAGGGGCCGGGTATTTAGCTCAGAGGTTCTGCCACCTGCCTCGCAAGCGCAAGTTCAATCCCTGATACCTACCAACCAACCAACCAACCAACCAAACAAACAAAAAACAAACATTACTTGAATTATGTTTAAAAGGCACTGGGATGTATTTGTTATTCATTTAGTCATTCAGTTAAAAAATACTTATTGACTGTGCTGTATGCTAGACACTGTGCTGAGGTCGGAATTGTGAAGGCATTGGCTTTTTCTTTAGTAGACTTCTACAAAGTAGAAAAATGAATGGATAACTCTACAGCGTATGCAGTGATAAAGTGCCAAGTGCTATGTGAGTGCTTACATGTGTCTGCATGTATCCCCCCTTCATACTCAGAGCAGGTAACATTTTTAAGCTATATATAGAGGAGTAGGAGTTAGCCATGTGAAGTGGGCCAGCGGAGAGAAGTTTATGCAATTTATACAGGGACCAGAGGTCATGATATATATCTGTGGTGAATTCACTTGCATATTTATTATTCAGGATGATTGAGTAGTGATTGGGAACTGAGAAGGAAGTATGAGAGATGAACAGGGGCAAGCTTATGAAGTCTTTTCTATGTCAAGGCATCTTAAAGATTATTCTGAGGGCAGTAAAAAGGGAAGATTATCCTGAGTGTATTCCTTCTTTGTCAAGGAATTTTGAGGTTATTTTGAGGGTGTTGAAAGACGAGGAAGGACAAGAACATGAAATTGACATGAACAGATTTTGTTTTGTTATGCATTGGAGAGGAGTAAACCTAGTTAGGAGCCTGTTGCAGTGAGACTTGCCAGTAGCATAGTGTAGAAATGGAAAGAAGCAGGCTGGTATGGAAATGTACTTAGTCTTAAGAAGCCGGAGCATTGGGTGTGGGAGTAGTGTAGTGAGATAATGGACCCGACTGATTCTGAAGTTTTCTAGTTATAACTAGATGTTATAAATGAAAAGATTGCAAATGAATTATTCAAGATGTGATTTTATTATCCAGGCATTTTTTTTTAATAAGGGAAATATAGTAAAAATACAAAGTTTGATTGTGGACTCAGAATTTGTCATTACACAGCTTATGTACTTAGGCATATTTGTTTATTCAAATTTGTCACTATTTGGGAACCATTATGTACAGGGTACTGTGTAGGGTGTTATAAAACATGCAGGTTAGATGAAAATATAATTGTCACCAGCCATTGTGTTCAATTGGGTTAGTTTCCTTTGACATCAAGAGGAAGAAGTAGGTAGACCCAGGAGAGGTGTATAGATATGAAAGGTATGAATGCACTGGACAGGCTTACTGAGTATAAGGGATAAGAGCACTATTGAAAAGAAACATTAGAGAGAGATTAGGAAGGACATAGGATAGAATATTATAGGTGCTTTGTGTAGTGTCTGAGTCCTGGCTGCATGTGTTTTATGCCACTTGTGTTGTGAATTGGAAGGGATGTCATTGCGGTGTAGTTGCTGGTGGTAGCAGAAGACAAGATAGCAAAGGCAGCTCTGCACCCTGGTTAAAGTATTTAGGGTATTCATAGGTTCCCCTCAAGTCAGAAGAGAACAGGGTTTAGAATGGCCTGTCATAAGTCACTGGATTTATGAGAAAATCTAACAGTGGGATACTAGTGTATTTATTACTTACTGCCATGTCACAAGTTACCTGAAAAGTTAGTAGTTTAAGACAACAGTTATTTTTTACTTCAGTTTACAAGAGTCAGGGATACAGTAGAGGCTCAGCTGAATATTGTGGCTGCATTTATAACAAGGTTGCAGTCAAGTTCTTGGTGAGGGATCTAGTCAAGAAGCTAAACTGGGGTTAGAGGATCTGTTCTCAAGATCACTCACATGGTTGTTGTCAGGAGGCTTCAATTCCTTGCCATGCAGGCTCTTGCACAGACAGCATTGACTCATGTAGCAGCTGTTTTACCCAGAGCAAATGATTCAGGAGAGGAAAAGAGTATGAGTGAATGATCCAAATAGAACCTGCAATGTCTTTTATGGACCAGTTGAGGAACCAGCATACTCTTAGCATTGCCAAATTCTGTGAGACAGGTAAAAGACATGTAAACCAGCATGGGAGAGGTGGAGGGGGTTTGTTCAGATCAGAAACAAAATTGATACGTAGTCTCAGTGTAGTAGTTACTTCAGAGAGTAGTATTAAGAGGGTTAGTAGGGAGACTTGAGGGGGGTGTGTGGATAAGGGTTTGGGATATGTCTGCAGACAAAGGTTCTTTGGAATGAGAACAGGAGAATGTTGACTTTGGGATATGTATCTAGACTTTTCATTTCTTTTTATGTCAGTGGACATAAATGGACTCAAAAAACTGTTTAAATAAACTAAAAGTAAATAGGATTACAAATGGTCAGTTAAATGGAAATATAATTATTAAAATACTAAGCCAAATGAGTAATTTATAAGAAAATGCATTTTAGTATGGTCAAGAAGTGAAATTGAAGGATTTAAATTAAATTAAAATTCCCACTTATGTTCACGGACCCTTCCCAAGTTCATGGACCCTACATCAAGAACTACAAACATTAAGATGTTGGAAATTATAAGGTTGAAGAGGCAAGAAGATGACAGGCAGCCTTGAGAGACATGTTCTGCTTAAAGTGGTGGCAAAAGAGTGAAAACTTAAGAGGCCACACTTCTCTTGGAATGTTTGTAGTATTCAGGGTAGAGTCCAAGTCGTTTTTGAAGTTTTACATTTTTTTAGAAAGGGTCTGAGGGTCAGCAGATTGGAAAGGGCTTTTTTTAAAAAAATTTTTTTTACTTTTGGTATCTTATGTTAGCAATGTTAGCCAGTAAATTCTTAATAGAACTGAATTTTTATGTGAATTTTTGTATCCCTGTGTTATGCAGGGATTTTTTTTTTTTGGTACCAGGGATCGAACTCAGGTCCTTGTACTTGCAAGGCAGGCCACTGAACCGCTGAGCTAAATCCCCAGCCCTATGCAGGGATTTTGAAACCTTCTTTACTTAATAGTAATTATAGTTAAGTTGTCCACAAATATTACATAGTTGAATTATCAGTAAAACTTATTCTTTGAATAGCTTTACTGAGAGACTTGCTGCTGCAGACTCCACAAGACTGGGAAGCTGTCTTTAGGAAGGTCACCAGATTGCTTTTCACCAGAGAGGCTGGGAACAGAGCTAACTGGTTCACTCAGAGTTGGCACCAGACTTAACTCACTAGCAGGAACTCATCTTTTATTTCTAAATTTTCTGTGCATAGACATCTTCAGTTCCACAAACTGAATTCAACTGAAATATAAAGTGAAATCTTTGAATGGTTTATTGCTTATCTGTAGTTTGTTGTATTTTCTTTCTTAGTGGCCTCTGTGGTAATCTTCTTTGTACCATCACATATCAACATCTGTCAGGCTGGACTTCAGGGGTTTTCTGTCTTTGTTCAAACTGGGAGATGCCAAATACTTGTAAAAAAAAAATTTAAGTATGGTTGCCAGTAGGGAAGTGGAATGGGTTTGAGCCAGAGAGAAATTTATTTTCTTTATTTCAGGTCAGGGTACTTGGAATGTATCGAAGAAGAATGTTTAACTTTCTCTCTTTGTGAGCTGGAATTTTGCTCTCCCCCACCCCCTTTTTCTTGGATGGAACTCAGGACCCTGTGCTTGCAAGGCAGGCGTGGTACCATCTAGGTTTTCTGTCTTCCTCCTTCCTCCTGTTATATACCTTTATGAACAGCAGCCTTTTATATTAAAAAAATTTTTTTATAGGGTTTTTTTGTTTTATTTTGTTTTGTTTTGTTTTGTTTTTTAAGACAGGGTCTTATTCTGTAGTTCAGGCTGGCCTTGAACTGTCACTATATAGTCCAGTCTGGCTTTGTGCTCATGATCCTCCTGCTTCAGCCTCCCTGTGTTAGTTTACAGATTTGGCCCACCACATTGGGCCCTTTTACTGAATCAGGGTAAAACACTTTATGGCTGTTTCCCTGAAAAGTTCTACTAATACGTACCTTTACTGGTGAGGTAGTGATACTCAATACATTTTAACATTGGAAAGATCAACTGAGTTATTGAGAAATTTTGCTAATTTCTTTTAAATGCTATTGTGTTTGGCTTCTATTTATGATAAGAGCAAAGTTTCTTTTGTATTTAAGGTGTCCCAACAAGCAGCAAAGTGTATTCCAGCAATGGTGTGTCCTGAACTGACAGAACAAATCCGGAGAGAAATAGCTGCTTCTCTTCATCAGAGAAAAGGGGATTTTGCTTGCTATTTTCTTACTGACCTTGTAACGTTTAGTTTGCCAGCAGGTAACTCCAAAAAATGAAATTTTGATTTTATTATATTGCATCTTTGCTTATGGATGAAAATTGTGGTTTTATGAGGAAATTGTATTATGAAATCTTAATTGATTTGATTGATCTTTTTATGCTGGAAATGATCAGTTCAATAGCTATTTATTTATTTATTTATTTTTTATCTTACTGAGTTTATTGGTACGTTTTAAGTATACAGTACATATTCATCATTGGGATCTTGTACCTTTACATGACAGATCTTGGTTTTCATATTTTCCCCATACCTCTGCTCAAGGGCTACTTATAAACAAATGCTTTATTATCAGTGACTGATTTCTTTGTGGGCCTCAGATCTTTGAAAAAGTCTTTTGTCCATTCATTTTCCTTTTTTTGTGTTATTTCAGAATATGCTTTTTAATCTGTTTTTAACTTTCTCTTTTTAAGTCTGTATATTTTGAAATTACATAGCTCTTGGTTAACTCCTGTTTAAGAGACAGAATTAAGAACATAGGCTTTTGATGTGTAGAGTTAGGTTATTTGATTTAAAGATGGTGGTACAAAGCCAGGTGTGGTGGCGCATGCCTGTAATCCCTGCATTGGGGAGGCTGAGGCAGGAGGATCGCTGTGAGTTCCAGACCAGCCAGACTGAGCTACATAATGAGTTCCACATCAGTCTCAATTACATAGTGAGACCCTGTCTCAAAAAAACCAAAGGGAAAAAAAAAAGATGCTGGTGCATGCCGCCTGCCTTGCAAGCACAAGGGCCTGAGTTCGATCCCTGGTACCCGCCCTCCCCGAAAAAGACACTGGTACTTTTGAACACATCATTCCTTTTGACTCATTACTTTCATTTATTTCTACTATTTTTGTGAAACATGTTTTTATTTTTCAGTTCATTGGCAGTTGAAAATGTCTCCCAGGATGCCTTTTGTCATTTGGCATTGAATAAATACACCAAACATCAAAAGCTTTTAAAATCAGACTTCCTTCTGGGATCTGAATGTTTTGAACTATTGTATTCAGATATAAATAGAAGCAGTTACAAATGGTAGATAATAACTAAGCCTTCTAAAATCAGAGCAAATTTAATTTGAAATGCACTCTCCATATTTAAGCTCTCCCCGAGTTATGATTAGATTTTTATTTTGAATTGAAAAAAAATTTTTTTTGAGATAGAGTCTTGCCATATAGTTCAAACTGGCCTGAACTCACCATGCAGCCCAGGCTGCCCTTGAACTCATCCTTTTGCCTCAGCCTCCCAAGTGCTGGCATTATAGGCATGAACCACCATGCCTAGCTGAAATATACTTAAAAAAAAAATTGTTAAGGGTGATTTTATTTTCATAAAAACAACATGAAAAACATAAACCTTTCATCTTTAATTAAAATAATCAAATTGTGACCTAATTCCTTGTTTTTTGCGACAGACTTCTGATTACTTATCTTTTAAATGGATTTATTTTTTTCCAGTATCCCAAATGGCAGTGCCATTTCAAACTTTCCCCCAACCTGGTAACACTAAGTATTTTTTCTTTTCTTTTCTTTTTTGGTACTTGGGATTGAACTTGGACCCTTAACTTGTGAGGCAGGCAGCAGAACCACTGAGCCAAATCCCTGGCCATTTTAAGAACACCTAAGCGTTCTTAAAATAATAAATTACATTCAAAATTTATTATGAATCAGTCTCAGTAGACAGAAGAGAAGATGAAAAGCAAAAAGCCCCTGGGCCAGGTATTTAGCTCAGTGGTTGCCATCACCTGCCTCACCAAGCTCAAGGTCCCAAGTTTGATCCCATGTACCCCGCAAAGCCCCTTTTTCCTACAGAGAACTATTAAATAATGTGTATACTGATACATAATTACAAATAATTTTTGATTGTTGCTACTATTCTAGAAAGGAGCATTTAGAAGTTTTATCTTTTTGTGGGTGTGGTAGCACACATGTAATCCCTATAATTTTTTTTTTTTGTTTGTTTGTTTGTTTTTTGAGCCAGGGTCTCACTATGTAGTTGAGACTGACCTGGAACTCACTATGTAGCCCAGGCTGGTCTTGAACTCACAGCGATCTTCCTGCCTCAGCCTCCCGAGTGTTGGGATTAGAGCGCAACCACACCCGGCCAATCCTATAATTTTTTTTTAAAGGAAGATTTTTTAAGGGTAATTATTCTTACTCCATGCTAGTTAGAGAGAGGAGGATTACAAAATACTGAGTGACAAAATGCATAGTTCATTAATTTTATAAGAAAATTCTAGAGTTTGAAAGTAACAGGTCTGTTTACTTACCCGTAAAAAGAGAACAAATATTTATGTTTAATTGCTCGAAATGTTACTCTTTATATTTTAAATCAGGGTTTGGCAGCAAAATATTGGAAGGAAATATTGTATATCCCAGACACATTACATAATCACAGTAAAAAAAAAATCTTGTCAGTATTAAGTGGAAAGGGAGTTTTATAGAGGATATTACTGTGAGAGACTGGTGTTAAGTTTATTAAGTTATGAAAGAAGAAACATCTTTTAAATCTGATCTTTTTTTGTAGATATTGAAGATTTGCCCCCAACAGTCCAAGAAAAATTATTTGATGAGGTGCTTGATAGAGATGTTCAAAAAGGTAAGCATGTGTGTTTTACCTTTTATCTGCTAATTAACACTTACTTTGTTTTATAAGGTATGGAGTTGTTCAATGTATAATCACATTTCTTATTTTTATTAATTTTATTTTAAATTAAAGATATACTGTCCTTAAGAGCAGTGTTATATTCTTTTGTTTTAAAATAGTCATTAAGACTGAAGGTATATAGTTCAGTGGTAGAGCATTTTCCTAGAAGGCACAAGACCTTGGGTTTGACCTCAAGCATCAAGAGAAAAAAAGCTTACTTATGATTCTTTTTTTTTGTACCAGGGATCAAACTCAGGACCTGTGCTTGCAAGGCAGGCAACAAAATCTCTGAGCTAAATCCTCAGCCCTTATTTATGATTTTTAACTTTGATGGAATAAACAAAGATATAAAATTCTTAAAATTTTGGTTTTTTACTTCTGATTAATGAATATATTTTTATATTAAGCAGTTTTTAGAAAATAAAATTATAAAGAATTTAAAAGTTGAATAAAATATTCCAGAGCCTGAAGAGTTTTGACATAACTCAAAAAGTTTATATTATCAAATTTATTTAGGCATTTATTAGTAAATTAAATACATATCAATCTTTTTTTACATGAAAAAGGTTTTTCATTCCATTGAGTATTTTGTAATTACATAGGCGTAAAAGCAAACATGTTATTCAAGTTCTATTGAACATGTTATTTAAATTCTCCATAGAGTTAGAAGAGGAATCGCCAATTATAAACTGGTCCTTGGAGTTGGCTACACGTTTGGACAGCCGACTCTATGCTCTTTGGAACCGGACTGCAGGGGACTGCTTACTTGACTCAGTACTACAAGCTACCTGGGGCATTTATGATAAGGACTCGGTGCTTCGGAAAGCTCTGCATGACAGCCTGCATGACTGTTCTCATTGGTGAGCTGGAACCCTTCACTGTTTCTACCTGCACTGCACTTGCTGGAGCATTTCCCTGTGTGAGCAGGAAAATGAGTTAGATTTTCTGTGGCAGCTAGGGGAAAAACCTTTTTTGGTTTTGAACTGTAAGACTTTGAATGTCTCAGGGGCTTTAATTCCTTTTAAAGCTGAGCTTTCAAATAAAAACATTTGAAGCTTTAAAGTGGAAACTTTTAAATTTTTATAGAATAGAAATAATGTAAGGTTTAATAGCCTTAAATATTGGTAAGCTATTTTTTACTGATAATTTAAAAATACTTAATGATTTCCTATTTTTGTTCAGCTTTTTTTTGTTGGGGGTACTGAGGATCGAATTTGGGACCTTGCACTTGTGATGCAGGCAGCAGCACCACTAAGCTAAATCCCCGGCCCTCAAGTTTTATTTCTTAAATGTCAACATAATCTTACTGACATTGTTTTATAAGCTATTTTTCTTTCTAGGGGAAGGACTTGACCTCACTTTTTTTGCACATTTTCAAACCCTCAGAAATGTGAAAATAAAAATCACACCAGACCAGGGATTTTAGCTCAGTGGTTCCACCACCTGCCTCGCAAGCTCAAGGTCCTGAGTTGGATCCCTGGTGCCAACAAACAAACAAATTGCACCAAATCCCAGTATCATCTTCATTTGATTGACTTCTTAACATTTTGGCTTACCAGCTTCATCTCTACATATTTTTATTTGTTGTTGTTTTCGGTTTTTGGAGACAGGGTCTCACTATGTAGTTGAGACTGACCTAGAACTCACTACATAGCCCAGGCTGGTCTTGAACTCACAGTGATCCTCCTGCCTCAGCCTCCTCTGAGTGCTGGGACTATAGATGTGTGCCACCATGCCCGGCACATCTCTACATAGTTAAATACTCAGCTATATCAATTAGTTTTAGACCTCATAAACTTTTACTCTTCATTTCAGTATACATCTTTCTAGAACAAGAATTTTCTCCTCAATCACACCATTACCATTACCTAAGATTTAGATACCTGACATAACAGTTGATAGTCATATTTCTTCAATTGTCTCAAAAGTCCTAGTGTCTTTTTAGCATTTTACTAATTTACTGGTTGTGCATTTTTACGATGTATTTAGAGATTACATGAAGTAAATAAAAATATAAAGAGAACAGACATTTTGACTTGTTTCATTGTGAAAGATCTAGTACAGTACCTAGACCAGCTTGATGATACATAGTGAATGCTTTTCAAATACTGAATGAAAATACTGTAGAATTTGGAAGTGAGAACACTGTAATTAACTTTCTTGAGCTAAATTGTAGATTAAAGCATAATACTGTAGAGCAGAACTTTTTTGATTACTTGAAAAAAGAGCTCCCTGGCTGGCAAACCTACATGTAAATCTGATTGGATGCATATTATAGATAGAGGAAAAAAATGTTTCATTCAGATAGATAGCTTAGTCATTTAGTCTTTTTCCAGGAAAAAGGCTTTGTTGCCTTTTAGTGGAGGTGGATGCTACCGATTAATCTGGTGGTATGGACAAGACCATTTCTGTGGTAAGGGAGTTTATCTGGCTAGGTACATTGGATGTAGTTATTTAGCCTGTCTTGTTCTTCCCTGTCAGGTTGCATGCTTATCAAGCAGGCTGATGAGAGATCTGCCTATGCTAAAAGGATGAGAATGGTTTGGTTCCCACGGTAGCAGTCTGTTGGCATTGTGGTTTTACAGTTCTGCCCCGTAAGTTTGGTTTACGTGATTGCTCTGTGAAGTAGATCTGTTCCCTTGTATTAATGAAGTTTAGCTGTGGTGGATCTACCAGTTGGCAACTTTCCCTTTTAATAGGCAGCCTCTGACAGTCTTTTCCCTAGTGGTAACTTTTTGATTTTATTGTAAGGCAAGCAATGTGTTTTTTCCTAATTGTGATTTTTAAAAATTTTTAAAGACATTTGTGGTTAGTAATAATAGCTTAGGCTTATCTGACCTGTTATGCAAGGCTGGCAATAGGTGATCTTCTATAGTAGAGTTGCCACTGATAGTTGGATTGGGCTAGAATCCTAAGGTGCTTGTGTGTCATTTGTGGTCCCTTATGTCCAGCACAGAAGTACGAAGAGAGTACTGTAATCTGAGGTAGTATGTAAATAAATGCTACAGTGGCCGTTCCAATGAGAAAGAAGGCAGGCTGGGGACATGGCTCAGTGGTTCTACTGCCTGCTGGCAAGGACCCAATCCCTGGTACCAAAAAAAAAAAAAAAAAAGGACACTGAAGTATTTCAGCAGAACTTGCAGTAAATAGTCCTTACTCCTCTAAAAGGGTGCCTCAGGAGTGAGGCAGGATTCCTCAAAGTGTGCTTGACACCACTTCCTCTTATCCCTGCTGAGAGACACCTTTACCTGGTGGTTTGGGCTGCGTTGAATGCACTAATCACAGGGACTTCCTTATGCAGTGGTACCTTGGTTTGGTTTATGAACCTAATTTGTTTTATGATTTTGGGGAAGATGGCTGGGTTCATGTTTGTGTGGGCAAAATGGCCATGGCCGTGTTTGTCAACCAATATGGAGTTTGTGAATGGAAGCAAAGTTTTGCTGAATGCTTTTGTTTATGAATCAAGTTGTTTGCAAACAGAAGCTATCATGAGCAGAGGTATTACTGTGTTTTCTTAGGGATGGAGGTGGGTCAGAGATTAGCTAATGGGAAGGAAAGGGGCTGTTATTGCTATCAGTTCAAGGGTTCCATGAGCTCAACATGTGACTATTATAAGGTAGAATGAGAAGGGTGAGAAGCATAGGATCTTAGCTCAGTCTAGGAGAGGTGGGGCCCCACCTATCACTTGTGTGGTTTCCTTTTTTTTTTGGTGACGGGGATTGAACTCGGGTCCTTGCGCTTGCAAGGCAGGCCACCGAACCTCTGAGCTAAATCCCCGGCCCGGTTTCATTTTTTTAAAGGCAATTCTTTCCTGAAGTACCCTTTTGCCGATAATCCACATCAAGTAGAAGATATATTTTAAGTCCTGTAAAATTTCTAGTAAGAACTGAGAATGCACTTTTCTGTTATGGCAGGCTACTTTTATGTGTGTGTGGCTATGCAGTTCTGTTGGATACCCGTGATATTGAGCTGAGTCTGGTTCTGAAGACCGGACATGCAGCATTGTACTTGCCTTTCTTTGACATGTTAATATGATTTCTCAGAGGAACAGTTGGGGCTATGAATGAGGAAAAAACCAGGACAGTTCATACAAAATTAGTGCTGTTTTTGTTATTTGGTACTGTTACATGTAGGTTTGAGTTGTTGTTATATTTTTCAATATAAACTGCCACAAATGCTATTTTTTTATTGGAAGACAAATATATAACTGTGCTTCTCCCAATGCATGTGCTATCATATGGGCAGATGTAATGAAAATGCTAAAAAGTAAGATGAAAATGTCTTGCAAAAATTCTAAAGAGGTGAAGATGTGGCTCAGTGGTAAAATACTTGCCTAGCATTGTATGAGGCTCTGGATTTGATCCCCAGCATCCTGGGGTGGTTGGAGGGCTAGGGAATCTAAGCCTGGATTTTGGATATTTTTTAAGAAAGGTTTGTTGGCTGGGTGTGGTGGTGCACGCCTGTAATCCCAGCACTCGGGAGGTTGAGGCAGGAGCATCGCTATGAGTTCGAGACCAGCCTGGACTACATAGTGAGTTCCAGGTCAGTCAATTACATAGTGAGGCAGGAGCATCGCTATGAGTTCGAGACCAGCCTGGACTACATAGTGAGTTCCAGGTCAGTCTCAATTACATAGTGAGACCTTGTCTCGGAAAAAAAAAAGAGAGAAAGGTTTATTGAAGTATAATTTGTATACCATAAAATGCATTTGATTTATTCTGTACTATTGAGTGATTATTAAATTTATAGAATTGTGAAGCTACTGCTACAACAGAATTATAGAATATTTTCATCAGGCTCCTCCTACTTTCCATCCCCAGTCCCAGGCAACTTATCTACTTTGTGTCTTACATTTGCCTTTTCTAGACATGTCAGGTAAAGAACCCCCAAATATGTGGTTCTTGTGAAGGACTTCTTTCTTTTATGCAGCTTAAAATATAAAAAAGATCCAGTCATGTTGTAGCGTGTATTGGTAGTTTGTTCCTTTATATATAGTCATTTTTGTGTATATATGAAGTAGTACATGCAAATCATCTTGATTTGCATTTGCTTAGTAACTGATGACATTGAGCATCTTTTCATGTGATAGTGATGTATTATCATTCATATGTTGTCTTTGGTGAATTAACATTCCACATTATACACACATACATTTTGGGCTTCAAGCATGCTAAGCCAAATTTCCAGCTGTCTTATGCTCATTTTTAAAGCAGTTGTCTTATTATTCAATTGTAGATATTTTTTATGTATCAAATCCCTCGTTAGGTGTTTAATCTGCAAAGTCTTTATTCTGTTTTCTTTCATTTTATTAATATAGTCTTTTGAGGTGCCACAGTCTTTAATTTGAGTTAATTTAAGTTTATCAGTATTTTTCTTTCATTGCTTGTGCATTGCATCTAAAGAATTCTTTTCTAGCCCAAGGCCACAAAGATTTACAAACCTTCTAACTTTATGTTTTTTTATTTTATTATTATTATTTTTTGGTACTGGGGATCGAACTTGGGACCTTGCACTTCTGAAGCAGGTTGGGGAGCTACTGAGTTAAATCCCCGGCTACACCTTTCTTCTTCCAAGACTTTAACTTTTACATTTAGGTTTTTGATCCATTCTCAATTAATTTTTGTTTCAGATGTGAAGTATAAAGATCTAAATAAATCTTTTTGCATGTGGATATCCTTGGGCTGTTTATTGAAAAGACTTGTTCTCTGTCCTGTTTTCTGACACTTATCAAAATTTTTGGCTACGAAAGTCAAATTTTCGATTTATATGTCTCCTGTTGTATCAATATGAGATTATATCTTGATTTTTGTAGTTTTTAAATAAGTTTTGAAATCAGGAGTCTTCTAATTTAGTGTTTCTTTTTCAGAATCGCTGGCCATTCTGAGGGCTGTGGATTTCAGTGTAAATTTTAGGATTGGACTTAATCAGTTTATACAAAAATCCTCCTAGGACAGTGATTGGAATTGTACAGAATGTATAGATTCATTGAGGGACTATTTTAGCTTGAAAGTATTGAGTCCTACAATCCATGAACATGGAATTTATTTTTGAATGTTGAAGAAAAATTGCATCCCTGTACTATGTGCTCACATGTTGCTGAATTAAGAATATTTGCCTGTTCTTCATGAACTAGCTTGCTTTTCAAATTAAGGGCTTCATGTGGGAGGTGATTGAACAATTATTTCATTGTCTAAAAATTCAAATATATTTCTCTAGTTCTTAGCTACTGTAAGAAAAATACTTTTATTTTAAAAATATTTTACATTGGGATTAAAAAGAAATGTACTAATATAAAATAAAAATTGAAAAAGATAACACTCAAAACCTCTTAGTTACCTAGAATGTGATTTTTTTCTTCTTTTAGGAGTACTGGGAATTTAACTCAAGGCCATCCCACTGAGCTACATAGGTGTGTTGTTAGTTAATTGAAACAGGGTGTTATGTACTTCAGGTTGGCCTTGAACTCACAGAGATCCTCCCGCCTCAGCCTTTTGAGTGCTGGGATTACTAGTGTGACCCACCCCCAGTTCTTTAAAACATAAAAAAAAAAATTTGCAGGGACAGGGTTTCCCTGGCCCAGACTGGACATGAATTTGCCATCTTCCATCACCAGCTTCCCAGAATGCTGGTGTTATAGCCATACACCATTATGCCTGACTAAAAAATGTTTTTTAGCCAAGTAAAAACATTATGGAACATTATGTCTTATTCATTTTAGAAACTATATTATTTTAGTTCTACAGAGTCCTTTATTAAATTACCACACAGATGCCTAAGATGCCATTTAATTTAACTTTACTATGTTGGAACTTCCCACAACAGTGGATTGGTTTTTCTTTTTTTTTGGTACCGCGTATTGAACTTGGGTCTTTGTGCTTATAAGGCCGGCGGTGGAACCACTGAACTAAATCCCCGGCCCCATCAGTGTATTGTTTTTTTGGGGAGGGTGCATTGCTACTAGGGATTTGAACCCAGGGCCTCCCATGTTAGGAATATACCCTGCCTTATACCTAGCCCCAGACTGTTTTCTTGTCTTTTACCTAGAATTGAAATATAAGGAGTGTGATGTTTATTATACATGTGCCTTTACTTCGGTCTGTAGTTGGCTTGTTTTATAAGACCGTGAGCCACAGTTCTGAGCATAAATATTTCTGGTTTTAGTTATTATTTTATATAATGAAAGTTTAGATTTTTCTTTTAGTTCTTTAGTCTGCCAGAAATCCATTTTTAGATTTGCCTCATTTATTAGGGTGAAACATTAATAAAGATATTAAATATGAAAAGGGACTTGTTTTTGTATTTGCAGCGATAATTTTTAGATTATCAGGTGAGCATCAGATTTTGGGGGGAGTACTATGGATTGAACTCAGAATCTTTCGTATGCGAGGTAGGCAGTAGAACCACTGAGCTAAGTCCCGGCCCCGAGAAGCATTATTCTCAACTGTCTATACTGGCTAACAAACATGAAACACTTAAAACCATCTGTCACAAACATGCCACATCTTATTAGTGTATCATTACTTTTGTAAAAACAGGAAATGTCCCATGTATTCATGATAACTATAAATATCTGATGATTGGTTGGGGATTTAGCTCCGTGGTTCTGCTGCCTGCCTTGCAAACACAAGGTCCTGAGTTCGATTACTGGTACCACACACACACACAAAAAAAAGAGAATAACTCTTCTCATCACTAGTGTTTGATATTTGATGAACGTTTTTGATGGGGTAAATCAAATTCTGCCTGAAAATACATTAAAAGATGTCTGCTAGCAGAATGGAGGCATTTTTAATTTGAAAAATATATTGAAGCCTAGTAAAAGTAATAAAATTAATCTCTTCACATGAATTGCCTAAAGGCTACATTAAATAAGTAACTGAAACATTGAAAATAGTTTGTACATGGCTTATTTTATTTTACTGTCTCGTCTTTTAGGTTTTATACACGCTGGAAAGATTGGGAATCCTGGTATTCTCAGAGCTTTGGTTTACATTTTTCCTTGAGAGAAGAGCAATGGCAAGAAGACTGGGCATTTATACTCTCTCTTGCTAGTCAGGTAAGGACGCTGCAGGCCTAGTTGCTCCTATGAAAAAGGTAAGCCATATGGTCTTAATTCCTTACTTTGTTTGAACAAACCATGTTGAAGATATTGTGGTACAAAGGAAAATTACTTGCATCAGTCAGCTTGGGTTATAGGTATGACTGTTGTTTGCCAAATACATGACCATAGCAAGCTTTCACTGCAGAACCTGCAGAGTAATGTGTTTCTCATGTTAAGTGGTAAGAACTGTCAAAATGAAAGTGGTATTGTGATGATTCTAAGTACCTTGAGATTGCTCTCCATTCCTCCTCCACACAGGAGGTTTTATTTCTATTTTATCTACCTGCAGGTTAGCCCCTGTTCTGGATCTGAGCTGGGGCTTACCCAGGATCATTGCAGAAGTCATTCTTTAGAATGTGTCCCAGTGAAGAGACTTCATCCTATTCAAAGGAAAAGATGTAGTGTAGCTTACTGTGAGCTAATGGGAATAAACTTTTCTGCTATCTGTTGTCATTCTTTTGTAAATGAAGCCTCTGTGTAACACAACTGTGTGGGATCATTCTTCTTATACCCTTGGATTCATGCTTGTTTCATTCATTATAATAAAGTATAAATTTCACATATGTACACAACAAACTCATCTTTCTAGAAAGCACTGTAGTTTCTTTGAACCCCCAGAAGGGATGTCTGGGCTGTTAGGGCAGAGTTCGGTGGCTAATCTACATGAGATGTGTGCCTCATGGCTCTGTTGTTAGTCACTGTAATTGGAAGATAGGCTGATGATTACTATTCACAAATTAGGTGATACTGCCATTTAACTTTGTGAAATGAAAGTTCATCTTTTTTTCAGGAGACTTTGTTGTGTATAGCACTTTCTCGGTTAATCAGAGTATGATTATACAAATCATGCTTTGGTGTTTGAATCTCTGGTTCTTGAGATTGCATGGTATTAAGATTAGATGGAAAGGGTATCTCATTATCCATATCTACTGTATTAGTGAGTTTGGGTAGTGAATACTTGTGCATAGACACTGTAAATCTCTATTACATTTTTATTGCACTTTGCTATTTGTGGAGTCAAATGGTTTAACTTGACAGTGTATTTTTTTTTGTTAAAAATGAATTGAGCTGGTGGTGGTATACACCTGTAATCTTAGCATTTTGGATAATCAGGTGGATTGCTGTGAGTTCAAGGCTAACCTGGGCTGCAGTGTTGAAGGTTAGTCTGAACTAGGGAGACCCTGTCTCAGAAAAACAAAAAAATGAGACAATGTGAAGAAGGTAGTATTAGTTTTTACACTTCAATTTTGGTAATAGTTTATTATAAAGATAAATTGTCTGTTTTTGTTTTGTTCTGTACAGCCTGGAGCAAGTTTGGAACAGACACACATTTTTGTACTTGCACATATTCTTAGACGACCAATTATAGTTTATGGAGTAAAGTATTATAAGAGTTTCCGGGGAGAAACTTTAGGATATACTCGTTTTCAAGGTAAGCCATTATTCAAGAACACTTCAGAAGTCTTTGTTTTGTATGATAATAGTTTGTATCATTAACAGAGAGAGAATGATGAGCAGGTGGCTCTTGTGGACATGTGTCCAGTGGCATGTGCTACACGAAGCGGGGGGCCTGGGCTATTTCCACCTGAATGTTTGTGATTTTTATCTGCCTTTTTACAGGAGTTTATCTGCCTTTGTTATGGGAACAGAGTTTTTGTTGGAAAAGTCCTATTGCTCTTGGCTATACAAGGGGCCACTTCTCTGCTTTGGTTGCCATGGAAAATGATGGCTATGGTAACCGAGGTGCTGGTGCTAACCTGAACACAGATGATGATGTCACCATCACATTTTTGCCTCTGGTTGACAGTGAAAGGAAATTACTCCACGTGCATTTTTTATCTGCTCAGGAGGTAAGCAGCATTTCAGGTTGATCTTATCTGTCACTATGAATTAAATTTGAGTGACTGTAGTAAATGTAATTTTCTGTAAGTTTTGGACTGGTAGATTGAAATTCACCTTTTCAAAATTGCTTTAAAACCAGGCAAGGACCTGAGGAGTAAAGTCCTTGCGTTTAGGTGATGAATGCTAAGAACAAGAAAAAAGCCTAGGATGATAGAGACTGTATTAAGAAGGGATGTGAGTCTTGCCATCTAGAGCTATAGAATTCCCATAATTACCAAAGCCAGTGTGGCCAAGGGGAATGGTAAAGCGGAAAGAGGGCAGGCTGGAAGATGAGCAGGACTGGCAGGAAGAAAGGTTTTTTTAGCTCTTTTATTCATTTGAGTAGTTCAGGCTGGCGTCCAACTCACAGAGATCCTCCTGCCTCAGCCTCCCAAGTGCTGTGGATTACAGGCATGTGCCACCACACCTGGCTGTCAGCTCTTCTAAAGCTCTTGATTGTACTATGGTTGAGCTGGAAAGCTATCAGCCAGTGTTCCTGGAAGAGGAATGCTGGCTGCTTGGTTGAGGCTAGATGCCTAGGTAGTTCATCGTTAGAGACAAAGGAGAGTGAGCATAGATAGTAGAGACTTGGCAGAGGAGTTAGAGAATGTACAAAATACTCAGAAACCCATATTCATATAAAATTATTGATCTTTTATTCAGTATACTAGTAATGATCATAAAACATTTATAATCACAACATTGAGAAAAATAAGTGATACACCATATCTTGTACAACTTAAGCCTATACATAATTTACCGAATAAACTTACCTTGTCATATGTTTGAAGTTGTGACTTTCTTTTTCTGGCATTATCTTTACCAGGATCAATTAGAACATTGGCCTTTTGCTATTACCTCCTAGGGTGTTCAACCCTTTTCTGAGAATTTTCCCATCGATATTTAAAAAAAAACTGGTTTTTAATTACGAAAAGTGGCAAGAGGATGAAACCACGCTAAAACAGCTTATGAGTTTGGCCTTTTCATTGTCATACCAGCTAGCTGTAGGTTGTTCCTGTCAAGTCTGATCTGTTGTATTCTCTTTCTTCAAACTCATCTCAAAGCTAGGTAATGAGGAACAGCAAGAGAAACTGCTCAGGGAATGGCTGGATTGCTGTGTGACTGAAGGGGGCGTTCTGGTTGCCATGCAAAAAAGCTCTCGGCGGCGAAATCACCCCCTGGTCACACAGATGGTAGAAAAATGGCTTGACCGATACCGACAGATCCGGCCTTGCACATCCCTGTCTGATGGAGAGGAAGATGAAGATGATGAAGATGAATGAAACAGATCAAGAAGACCAAGGCATCAGCGCTGTGATTTTCAAAATTAGTGTGGTGCTCCAAGCAGAGTGTAGTGTGGAATGAAACAAACCGGGCAGGATTTGTTGAAATATTTTTTGGATCCACACAAAGTGGGGATAATTTATCTGCTGCATGAGGAGACTGCGAACTTTGGTTGAACTAGTTTGTTAAAAACAAAACAAAACTAATTTTATTAAGACAACCTTTTTTCCTTTCAAATTGTAAATCTGTCTATACATGTAACGCATGTGGTTGTGTAAGAAATTGTGTAATAGGACAAGTTGCACCAGCATCTTCATATTATTGAGAAGTTTTTTTGCAGCATGGGCACTTACAAAAAGCACATGGCAGACAACTCTTATTCCTTGGAGATAATTCTCTTCATTAGAACTTGGCATTCTATTTTCACCTTAAAAGATCCATTTTACATTACGTCTCAGATTTGGAAACTTTGTACAAATTATCCACAGTAAAACAAAATAAACAAACTTTTATTTTAATTTAGTTCCTGTTGTGCCCTGTAAAATAAAATCAAACAATTTAGGGAAAAAACTTCCAAGAAAAACTAATAGTTTTTTATTGAGTAAACTTCACATAGGCTTTTTTTTTTGTCTTTCAGGTTTTCTGATTTGCCCCCTTTTCAGTATTTAGGTATTTATTTATTTGTTTGTAAGAGTACCCTAAAAGGAGGGTTTTTACTCCAGACTCTGGGCAGTGGTCATTTGTGTGTATTTATTCCCTGGATGGAAAGGGAACAGGCTAGCTTGTCACTGAATGGATTGTGTGAAATGTTTACTAGGAGTCCATCCAAAATGTTCTACTCCCAAATTGCCAGGCAGAGGTGTTTGGATTCTTCCTGTCTTTTATCACACAGTACCTCTGCTCTAAGCAAATGCTGTTAGAAGGGCATGTCTTTGCTTGGGCTGATTGGGAATACCAGTTCAGTACAGAATAAAGATTTTTAAAATGGAATAAGGTGGTAAATGCATTGTATGAATTTCTATGTAGTCCGATTTTTTTTTTTTTGCATGTTGGTAATTGTGGCCATTCTTATTTAACGTTAAAACTATAATCTTAGGTAGAAAAACTTTTTATGAAGAGTTCTTATTTGACTACTTCAGGTATACACTAAATACTAGATAAATTTCTGGCCTATCTCAGGAACACACGATTCGGTGTCCTGATAAGCACTTTTATATCCTATTGATGTGGCAAGGAATTTGCAAAAAAGCAAACACGCACACAAACATACACACTTTCTTCCGTTTGATGAAAGGCTATGAAAACCTTTTAAGTATTTGTTTTCTGTTTAGATGGCATTGAAAAGTATGTAATCTCAAATTCAACGTTGAGATACTAAAAATAGAAAAATATCTGAGCTGTCATGTATGTCTTCAAGGTCTTCTTTTCTGAACACTTAGTAAAAAGCATTTCCAGGATGGAAGGATCATTTTTGCTGCGTGCTAAAACTTGCAGAAAAGTTATTTTTACAGTATGATTCCATATACATGAGTCATTATATTACAGTGTTGGTAAATGCTACTGTTCTAAGTAGTTTTCTTACAAATTGAAACTGGTTTGCTTTTAATTTGGTCATTAATGAAGTTTTTGTAAGGCCACCATTCTGACTACTTAACAGCATCTGCAGTAACTGTTCTCCATGCACAGGGATAGTTCTTTGGGGGCAGCGATCCTGTTCCAGTTGTTGAGCAAAATCTGCCCTCCCAAGTGAAGCCAAAGAGAAATGCTGGAGAGAGAAGCACCTGATGTCTGGGGTCTACATTGTACTAAAACACTATCTGGAGAATCACTGGCTCAGTACTCAGCATCATCCTGTGTTATGTCCAGTGAGTGTCCTTTCCCCAAGTTCCCTCTAATTTATGATCAGTGATTCTGACCACGTACTGTTGATGGATACAGCATTCTTCCCTGTGGGAAAGAGTTAAGATGGTTCCATTTCCTTGCCTCCAGACAGGAATGGAACTTTAAGTAGTTTTCATAACAGACTGGCTAGCTATTAAAGGCCAAAACTTTTGGTAAACTAGTGCTCTCTTTAAGCTCTTGAACTATTAAACAGCCATAATTATTGTCGCAAGAAAGAGAAAAAATTCCTTTATAAAAGGTATATGCAGGTAGGTGACAGATGTGAATGTCTTTAGGACAGTAACACATGAATTGTGTGAACTGAATTTTGTTTTTTTTCCCCTAGGATGAAACCAGTGTGGTGGTTTCTGTTCTCATTTGAAGTCAATTTATATATAATTGTTTCCAAAGGACTGTTTGAGCAATTGAGAACTAATTAAAACCCAGACACACCATGGATTTGGACTTACCGTTTCTATTTTTGACTTTTAGGCTTATCCAATCTTAGGTTTGAAAAATGGTTATGGTAGAACAATGTCATACAGAACTTTTTATGCAAATTTCATTGTGTAGATAAGTGATTATGAAGATAAACGGTCTGCATACTGAGGTGATAGGCCAATGTGAGTTTTCATTTTTCTACTACCTGAAAATGAGGAGACAGAAGGCCAGGCAGGCTAATGCTTTAACATACTAGTTTTGTTTGTAAATAGGAGGGGAAGAATAAGCAAAAGCTTAGAGGGAGTTTGACTCTTGAAATTGTGGGAATTAATACTAATATAGAGTTCAATGCTATTTTAAAAGATCTATTAAGTGAACTTAAACTTCTCAGTCTGTAAAAACAGTTAATGTTACTTCCCTTTCTAATGCTTCAGCCAGATAATTTGGTTTTGGGTCAATTAAAATCAAAATTCTGAAAGTAGATGGGCTTTGTTTCTGGAATTGACCTTGTCACACATGACTTCATCTTAAGGATGACATGAATCGAGAACGATGGACTACTTGTATGAGGTTGCTGTATTGCAATTCATCGCTGTTAACACATGAGGTAATTATTAGCATTCTTGAGTCTGCTAATGGGAAGTCACAACCTTGGAGGAATGAGAGATGGATGAAATTGGCTGACTACTTGACAATGCAGTTGTGTTTAAACATCTCAAGCAGAGAACTTTTACATTGGTGAGATGTACTTGAATTTCAGAACTTAACAAATTTTAATTACTTTTTATTGAAAACTGCACTGAACGCTAAATGTCCACCTTTACAATAAACAAATACAGTAACGGTAACTCACACTAAAACAAAACATACTTCTGATAGCCATTATTTTCTGTTTGGGACAGTTTAAAGTTTTTCTCTTGTCACAAAAACAGGAATGTACCTATACAAAGGCTCAAAATAGGCCATCTTTTTAAACAAAAAGGCAATGATTCACAAAAGACTATGAATAGAACATGTAACTAGTTGATACAAATCTAATAGGATTTGTTAAAATCAGTCACATCTAATAACACATCTGAAGTGTTCTTGTATAAAATATCACGTGAAGAAAAGAATTTATCAATGTCTAAAAAAGTGGGTTTGTTCATAGACAATCTGACAAGTTACCATAAAAAGTGTTTCCTGAGACATAAGGAAATGCAACATTATTCTTCTTGAACCTTACAGTTCAAGACTTTCCACTCAATAAAATAGCTGAGGATCTGAAACTGAGAAAATATATTTGAGTACAAACAGCTTGTGAAACTTAATATTTTTTCTTTTTTTTTTTGCATCATCAGAGGGTATTACTGAACTAACAACCAACTTGCGCGCTGCTCAGTATGCAGTTCAGATGTGAGACACACCTCTCTGTACAGGAGCCCGTGCTCTTCAATCCTATTCGTGCAGATGTCTAACAGGCAGTTTTCTCCCCATTTTGTAGTAATTTAATCTTCTATTAATAAAAAGAGGTAACAAGCCCCCATAGACCAAAGGGACTAAAGTCATAAGATGGGGACTTCCTCTTAACATTTTTTAATTTTGATGTTTGGAACTCTTGATGCAACATTCTAGAGCAAGGTGCTCAGGACCTGCTGTGTCCAAGGGACTGATAAAGGAAAAAGCTCTATTTATTCTTTGTGATTTGATGCACAGATGAAAAACTTAACACACAATAACAGAAGTTGGTCGTTAATAAGTCACGTCCTAGTCTTTCAGCTTCCATAGCAGACATCTTCAGTTTTCTAGCTCTTGTAGGTTTAACACTGCAACATCAAGGATGTGTATGTCCAGGATCAGTTAAAAAGACTGTCAAAAGACTTTTCTCTTAGTTTATCCATTTTTCACTGTCTCTTGGTCCCAAGTTTATCCAAATGATTACCTTTCTCTGCTATTGCTCGTTGGGGTGCTCTCGATTGTCCCCATGTTTTGTGGGTTGGTTGGGAGAGGGAGCTTGGGAAGGATGTGCCACGGTGGGGAGGTTGTGAGTCACCGGGATGCCTCCAGGGATAATCCCTTCCATGGCTGCAGGAAGTCCTCCTGGAGCCACACCTACAATGCCTGGTGGATACCTGAGGAGCACACAGGAAAAAGAGCCTTGTGAGTCCAGGACAGTGTCTGGTCTGGTCTTTTTCATTATTATGGGACAGTGTGTTTTCCTCCCTCTCCCCAAAGAAAGGAGAAATGGAAGTCTGTTTTTACAACATGATACAATGGTACTTCATTTAAAAACTGTAATCACTAGGCCAGTAATTTTGTAGCTTTAGAGAAACTATGTGCCTATACTGTTTGAAAAACAATAGAAAATTTTGTAGAAAATAGGCAGCAATGGGGCCAGGGATTTAGCTCAAGTGGTGTTGCCGTCTTACCTTGCAAGTTCAAGGTCCTGAGTTCAATCCACTGTACAAAAAGAAAAGAAGAGGCTCCAAACTTGGAAACTGATGATTTCCCAACAGGAAATCTCAGAAACCTTAATGTGCTGTTAAGGACTATTGAAATTCTAATCTCTTGGCAGATCAACCGTGGAGTGTATGCTTGTAATCCCACTTGAGAGGCTGAGGAAATTTGAGTTCAGCCTGGGCAACTCAGCAGGACACTATCAAAATCAAATTTTGAGAAGGTTGGGTACATAACTCAATAGTAAGCAGTTGCCTAGCATGTTCAAGACTGGGTTGAATTTTCAATACCACCAAAAACAAAAGGCAAATATCTGCTCCCCCAGCCCACAATAGAAAACCCATGTGAGGAAACAAGAACTTAGTTTGGTAACCATCACAGAAATAAAGCCCTCAATGAAATTCAACCATGCTGGCACCTTGTTTTAAGAATTACAGCCTCCAAAAAATGCAAGAAATTCGTGGTGTATAAGGCTTTGCTACCCCAAAATCACAAAGCAGGATTCCTAGGCTGGTTGTGCTGTGTTCCTTTGGACCATGGATAAGAAAGGGGAACTGGTAAGCTGGCTGTTAGCTTTTTCTATATTGTAGGGAGGACAGGGCCTGGGTATTTTAAAGATACATTACTTTAGCCACCAACAGAGCCAATGGTTCTAAGAAACAACAAATACAAGTTCAATATATTTATACATTTATGAGGCAGATACTTTAGAATGAGTTTATTTACCACTTTGTCAAACCTTTCTTACAACTGATTTAATGAGGATAGCACCCCCACCCTGTAGAAGGCGCCCTACCCCAGATTCTGACCTCCCAGTTTAACAAACTGCACAGAAATCTCAAGGATTTCCCCAGTACTGGCCCCTCAAGAGCCCATGTAATGTTCTGGGGGGGGGGGAGCTATGAATCTTGGATTAGCTGTAATGGTGTGCCTTTCAGAGACAAGTGCCCAAATTGTAAACCTAAAACTCACTTATTTACCGCAGAGTGCTAGCACTGCAATTAAACCCGAATCCTGATGTTATAGTTTAGAAAAACAAACAAAACTCTGCATACATTAACATCTTTTGTCCCAATAACACATTAGTAAGTTGAGTGTCAGGTTCACCACTATTGGACTAGCTGAACAAATGCAGCTGAGTCCTTAAAGGTGAGCCAACCACATAAATGGGATCATGTTTATAAGGACAAGAATGACATGTAAACAGTCACGTAATCTGGAGGCAACAGCACAGCCCATTCAGCCATCATGGGTCCTAGCAGACACAGTAGCATTTTCATTTGTCCTGACTGGGGAAGGGAGGTGCTTGTGGCATCTAGCAGGTGGAGCCCAGGGATACTGCTAAACACCTCACAGTGCACAGGACAAATCTCTCCAAGAGAATGAACTAGCCCCAAATGTGAGTACAGTCAGGGTTGGGAAGCCTTAAATTAGGGTAAGTCAAACACTTTCTCCTTGGACTCCAGGCTATATCCATCTCTTCTTTATGCATGAAAAATCTCTCTTTCCTGGGAATTGATCAGTTGGGGATGGGAAAAGCCATGGAAACGTCCACAAGTGAAGCTATGTTTACCAGACCTTGTTTGTATACACCCCCACCCACTGCAGTCACGTGCTTTACCCCAGCTGCCAAAATTCCGCCATATTCAATCTCTTATGTGTGGATAGGATATTGTCTCTAGTTGATCTTTAAAATTCTGTCAGACTGTTTTCCTTGGACAGAAGATTCAAGTAGAAAGTAAAATTACTAATAAAATTCTTGATGTCATCTTTACCTTTTCTGTAAGAACGCTTCTGATTTTATAATGGCCTGCCAATGAAAGTAACTGCTAGAACTTGGTCTGTCCAATCTGGGTAATTACCCTGGCATGCCATGTAGGTCTCAACCCTCTTTAATCAGAACTTCTTGCTATATTTCATAACTCTTTTCCCTAAAGTCATGTTCATCAATTAGGCATTGGGAAAAAACATAAGAAAGGACAAAGTACACAATTTCCGCTGAGAAGGCTGATTTTTCTTTGGTGTCCAGGTTAGATCCATTTTCCCCAGGTTTGGGCTTTTCTCCCCATGAATGCTCCTGGTGAGACAAAGTCAGTTCCTCTTCTCACCTGTATGTGGCACCATTGAGCTCAGGATGAATTGCTTGCTGGTCTATTACTGACCAAGGAGCTGATGTGACGAAGAATTCCTTGTTGACACAGTTTCTTAAGCTTTCTGGGATGCGACCTAGAGTAAGAGAGTTAAACTGTATGTACATTTTTAAGCTCACAGTAAGTTCAATATTATACTTGGTGGCTTCTAGTGAGGGAAACGGCAGCCTTCAGCTCGAACAGAAGTGAACCGTACTACTTCCTCTGGGTCCATCCTTTGTAGTTTGTGACTTACACTCTGGCTGAGAGTAAAGGGAAATGGCTCCCTCTCTATTTAGTCCAGAGATGAATATGTTGAGTCCAGCTCCTCTTAAACTACTTGTACGGCTGGTTACTGGTATAACCAAGCAGAGATAGAAGTAGTTCTACTGTGAGGCTGATGCTTCCTTTGAGGCAGCCAGGTTACAGCTGGGCTGGGGGAACAGAGGGGCTCACCTGTGATTGCTCGGCGGATCTCAGTGGCAGCTGCCTCCCTCATCTCCAGGGATGCTTGTTCACTGTACCAGGCTGTGTGGGGAGTACAGATGAGATTTGGTGCGTCTTTCAATGGACCCTGAGCAAAGCTGGGTAAATGGAAATATTCAGTAAATGGGAAGAAATTAACACAACTGCTGCACTACTCAAAAAGGGAACTCTTGGCTATCTGAATAATAGCTACGTAGATGTAAGGGGGCATTCTGTGTCGGACTTCATAAGGATTAGGCATTTTAGAACAAACAGACTAAAAACACATGGGTCAGACAGGAAGTCAATTCTACTGAAGGTTGCCTTCCTCTAACAAGAACTATGATTCTAGGGTATATAAGTAACCTACAGATGAAAACTACCATCAAGACGTTTCTGCCTTTCGGTTTTCTGATGATCATGGGGACCTTCTCATTTCTTTATAATTAAAGAGAAACTGCAGTCTTTAGACATCATCTCCAGAATCCTAGCCAGGGTTTTTTTCTGGAGAACGCCACAAGTTCAAAGGTTAGGTATAGATATGGGCCCTACAAGCTGGTAGGGCTGAGCCACACACATACCTAAAGGGTTCAGATTCATGCACATCAAGCGCTGCCCCTCGTATCCTGCCTTCTTTGAGGGCCTGGGCCAAGGCTTTCTCGTCCACCAAGCCACCGCGGGCTGCATTCACTAGGAATGCCCCTTGCCTCATCTGTGAGAGGAAAGAGGAGAAGTTATATCACGCTGCTGCAGGAAAAGACTCTGGAACCAAGGCTTAAAAGAGCAAAGCTACAAACTAGGAATTCTGTTGGTCTGTAGTATGTTTGGCAGAGGGGACAGAAGTTTTGGTGATACCTGCAAGGGGAGGTGGGAAGGTCGTAGCTATAGCTGTCATCTGATGTTTGCTCTTGGAGGCCAGGCCTGCCTGCCTGAAGCATGACTGGCTAAAGGATGGGAACCTGCTGGGTCCTGGGTGTTTCACGCCTGCCTCCTCCTTTCGGTAACTGATTTGTTCCAGGGACTCTTTGGTGCTCTCTACTGTATCCATGAACCATTTCTCATCCTCCTTGTGACCACTGCAGGTGCTATCTTTAGAAGAATGCTTCTAAGGGCAGTGGTGACAAACCTATGGGACACACATGCCACAGCAGGCATGCAGAGCCCTCTGTTGGCACGTGAGCCAAGATGGCCCAACAGCTAAGCATTGTCTAACAGCACACATGGGGGGCAGTGTTGGCACTCTGCAATAAGTGGGTTTGGGGTTTCAGTTTAGGCATTTGGTCTCTAAAAGATTCACCATCACTGTTACAGGGTTTGAGGACATGTATTTTCAAATTACCTGCTTTATAGTAAAGTCATTGATGAGGTGGTGGTTATGTTCATTGAGATTGCAGTGCAAGGAGACACAGTCGCTCTGATACAGCAAATCCTGTAGGGTGTAGACCCTCTGCACGCCCAGGGATCGCTCTATGCCATCCTGCAAGTAGGGGTCATAAAATATGACGCTGAATCCAAAGGCCTTGGCTCGAACAGCAACCGCCTGCCCTGTGCGACCTGTGCAGAGACAGAATGTCTAGGTGAGTGAGGCGCCTGCAGGTGCTGTGTGTTGCCACTACCTGCCCCACCCTGCTGGCAGCTGCTGACAGAAACTTGCCCAGGTATAGTGGCGTCGAAGGCCAGTAACGCCGACCCCAGGTCGTATGCCAAACCAGGCACAGGTGTCCTAGGTGGGGACCACAGTGCGTGCTTATATTTACTATAGAGGGATTTTTTGTTTTTAAACTCAGGGACATTTTCAAGCGAATACTCAGAATGTTCTAATAAGCCTCATGTACCCCTCCCCAGCTGTAACCATCACCAGTACACTCACATCCCTAGGCCCTCAAAATGAGCACCACTGCTTTATTACTGTCAATATCTGAAAATGTTCTCTGACCCAATCACCACTGGGTTTGCCTCTCGCAGGCAGTGCATTGTTCCAAAGTGACCACGGTTTGCCAGCCTGAGCACATACTGGTTGTGTGAAATCAGTCTGGCTGACAGGCAGGGCAGACACCTTTGCTCCCATGCCACGCTCCAGCATGCAGCCTGAGATCCTACAAGTTATAGCGCGCGTCATTTAACAGGACAAGAAGGACTTCCCAGTGGCCACTATTTGCACGCATCCACATGATGACACTTCTGCTTTCCAGAGCAGTTTTCAGCTTGAAAACAAAATGGTTGAGTAATGCTTGCTGGGGAGCTCACTTCAGAAACTCAAAAGCCGAATCCTTTTCCAAAACCTTTGTTCAAATGTGCAGACAGGGATAAAGGAAAAAGGGGAGACATATGTTTTCAGACAGGAAGTTGGTGTTTGAGGGGCAGCTTGCTGATAAGCGGCCCCCCACATTGATAGCTTGATCTAATCCAGCAAAACTGAAACAATGCCATGGTCTGGAGGAAAAGGTTTAACGAGGCTGTTCTGACCAAGAGGAACGGCTGCATTGTGTAATCAGTGGGTCACTGCCCATCATGTCATCCCTCTCAATGCCTCCGCATGGCTGCAGCAGACCCGGAACGACAGCCACATCTCCGGTGCTGGGGCAAGGGAACCGGCAAGACTGGACAGTGGGAGAGAACAGGCAAGCGTGGCAACAGCTAGGCTAGATCTGTCTTGAGGGCTGGGGATTTAGCTCAGTGGTTCTACCACCTGCCGTGCAAGAGCAAGGACCTGAGTTCAATCCCCGGCACCAGAAAAATAGAAGAAGAAGAAAAAAAAAGTATCACATTAGTAGACAACCATTCAATTTGAGTCAGTTCTTGTCTAACTTGGTTTACAACCAGAATCATGAAAAGAATTAGGTTTGTGAACAAGGTACCCACTGTATGTGAAACACGGGATGAGGGACTCAAGATGTGGCTGCCGAGATCCCACACCCCATAGGTTAATGTCTCCTTCACCCATGCTCAGGTCCTCAGCTACCCTTCTGACTCCAGCTGACTTGGACCTACGACTCTGACTCCCTCTCTGCAGATCCAGGGCACTGCGGGCAGGTGGAGAAGTGGCCCACAGGGAAAAAGTCAGTACTAACGAGTGTGAAGGGGGCAGAGTATTTATTCTCAGTGGGGTTTTTTCAAGTCCCCACCTTTTCACTATCTTCTACTTTACCATGAGATATTGTGACTGAAAACGTAATATGAAACTAGTCTTGCAGAAAAGAATCCAAGTATCTGAGAATTGTTTTAAAAGCATCAGTACTATTGTTGCCTTTCTCTTCTGTCCCTTTAGGAAGCCCTCTGGCGGAGAAATAGCCCACCGCCAGGCCAGTCCTCCCCTGTGGCGCGCTGCCTGAGCTGGGCTCAGCAGCCTCTTGCCAACGCTCCAGGTTCAGCTGCTGCTTCTCTGCACAGCCTGAAAAGAATGCAGGCTTTTAACCCCTAACAAGGTGGCTCTGGTGCTTACAGGGCACCCTATGCTGGTGCCTCTTCCTGTCCTACCACTATGCTTCTAGAAGACTAAGGAGAGACGATGATGATCTGCACCGGACCCAGGAAGACTGCAGCACTAGTACACCTGAAGGCCAGAGGAAGCAAGTGTGAAGAAGCGGGCTACCCTCGGTCCACTGAGATGGCCTCTGAAGCTGGAAAAAAGGTGCAGCCAGGGACAGCCAGAGTGATGCAGGCATCGGCCCCTGCATAGAGAGCTCTGCCGTGAGGCCCATCACTTGGCAGGGCTGCTCACACCCACCCCAGGCACAGAGGGGGCTAAGATGGATAAAGTTCTGAGAAAAGCCCAACAGGGCAGCAGCAGAGGGTGCTGTGACACATGCACAGCCTGAACCTGCATTTCTCAAACACATGATGAGGGCCAGTAAAATGGCTTTAAAGAACAGCTTTTTGCGCCTGAGGGTACAGCTCAGTGGTAAAGTCCTTCCCTACCATGCCAAGGCCCTGGGTATAATCCCCAGCAGTGGAGAAAAGGGAGATGAGCTGGGAGAGTTTTCCCTAATTTCAGTTACTCCGAAGTAAAAATTAAAGTATTTCAGATTGATACTTTAACAAAAACTTGAGGTGCAAAGTTAAAAACAGCTTCTCATTTTTGAATTGGGTCTTTTACAGCATTACAGTTTGTAATAATTTATCTTGGAAACAGCCTAGATGCACTTCAGCTGACAAATGAATAAAGATGTAGTTTTTTGCAAACAATGGAGTACGACTCTGCCACAAAGAAGGAAGAGCACCAGACATTTCTAGCTAAATGGATGCACACTGAGACCATACTCTTAAGTGAAATAAAAAAGGACACACAGATTTTAAATACCACAGTTTCTCTGGTGTGAGAACTTGAAAGTGGAAATAGACTAAAATATATAATAGATGTTGGGAAATGGGAAGAAAATGTTCAAATGTGAAGGGGAACAAGGAGGGAGAAAGGAGAAAGGAAGGAAGGAACAAGGAAAAGTTAAAATAGAAGGGAAAAATGGAAACAAAGCTTTTGTACATAGGAAGGGAGAAGGGCCTGATGGGAGGGGGAGGGGGAAAGAAGAGGCAGGATAGATCATGTACGATGAATGTCATCAGTATGCATATCCAAAACTGTGCCAATAAATGTTCTGCTAAAGGAAAAAAAGCAGCTTCCCAAGTGTGGTCTCCCGAGCAACTAGGCACCTACAGCCTCGTGGAAAGGTACGCGCACACGGCCCCGTTCATTGACCCTCAGTCCCAAGAAGGGGCAAGGGGACACCGGCTATCACCCAACTCCTGACCCTTAAACACTTATCTGGAAAGATGCAGGTCTGAGGTAAAGGCTGAGTGAATTCTTCCCAATTTAACTACCTGGCCCATGTGCTTCTCCCCTCCTTGGAGCGTAAAGAGGCAGTGACTGTGTATCCCCCATTCCTTATATGCACATCAGAAAACTGAAACAAGGAATTCATGGAGTTTCCTAAAGGTTATAAAAAGCTGTTAAGAAGCAGATGACAACATGGAGGGGAGTGAGCTGGGGGTGAGGACTCCTACTTGAACCCAGTGACCAACCGTCACGGCACTCAGTGGCTTCCTGCCACACACCCCGCACCCATTCCGAGGTTTCCTTCCTACAGCTCCAGTGCAGTTCCTCCCACGGCCTCTGGCGGGCAGCTCCATGACAATAGCTAGATCCAGGAAGCTCATTTCCGGCTGCACTCGGGGGAGCTTTCCAAGCCGATGGCCTGAATGTGCCACCCTCTGGCTTGAATCCTTCAGTGCACCCCACTGTCACATCAGCCTGGACCAAGGGCCTTCAGGTGAGACTTCAGCCTTGCCAGGGCCTGGGCAGTCACTCAGCCCCACTGCAGATGATGCCAACCTACTGCGTGACCCCTGCATGTCCTTTCTGGAACTGGCTCGGATTCACCCTGGGTGAGTTTCAGATGTGCTTTTCTGACCTCCTACTTTATGCACCTGGGCAGCACGCACTAGCCCTGCCTTGCCCAGGGCAACTATCTCTGACTCACACACAGTAGTGTGGAATTCTGAGAAATAGGCCCTCCCTGGCTCCTCTAGCGAAGGCCAGGGCTGTGGGCTGGGGCCGGGCCAAGGGCACATACCAAAGCCGATGAGGCCCAGTGTCTCCCCGCGGATCCGGGCTGCTCCTGAGGCCACCTCTCGAATCTGTTCCACACTCTGTACCCTCGTCCCTTCCCGCAGGGCCTGGTACAGCCATGTGTTCCGTCGGTACAGATTGAGAATGTGGCAGATGGTGGAATCGGCTGTCTCTTCCACGGCTGCGGATGGGATGTTGCACACAGCGATCCCTGAAAAGGACAAGAGCACAGTACCGAGATGAGAAGCGCTCAGATTCTGCAGGAAGTCCCAGGGCATCCAGCGCGGGCAGGGGCTGCAGGCATGGGGGTGGGCAGAGGCAGAGTTTAGCCTGTTTAGCCAGTATGTGGTTTTGTGACCAAAGAGGCCTGCTCCACTGCCTAGAAGGCAAAGGGTTTGGGCGAGTGGTCAGGAGGCCCAGGATTCTCAGCACACATCCATCTCCAAGGAGGCTCTCGGAACCAGCTCATCTCGCAGTGCTTTGAGCGTGGACCCAGGCAGCTTCCTCTCAGGCCTGCACTGAATTTGCAAGGACTTGGAGAAACAAAAAGCCAGCAGGCACCAGACCTTCACCCTGGCAGGACTTGGGGTGCCAGCAGGGCCTAGAAGACCAGGCATCTCAGAGTGCACTACTGTGAGCAGCCCAATCCGCTTACCTGGGTGGTGAGGGTTCCATTGGGCCAAGGGACCTCCTTTGTGGCTGGGGAGGAGGCTGACCATATTCCCACAAGTCAGGGCGTGTGTGTGTGTGTCAATATTCTTACAGGACACGGGCCCAGATCATTTGAAAAAGACAACCCAGCATTTCAGACCTGGTCACAGGACAGGGGTTTAAGAAACCTTTGTTATCTGGGACAAGTCACTGGCTAAAGCTCGGTGAAAGGACTGGCAGAGAATGGCGGAGTGGATTCTGCCTTGACCCAGCTGGCCCCAGGGCTGTGTGCCCCTGGGAGATGAAACTGATGCTTGTGAAGAGCCTACAGGTCACGCATGTAAAAGGCACCTGAGGGTGGGTGCAGAGAGGGAGACTGAGACCGGCTGGCCTACTTAGTCTTCACAACAGAATTTGGTGATTAAGCTCCTCTGCTCCAGGGCCTGTTGGGAGGGGAAAAGCCCAGGCCTGGGAACCTCCACACTAGTGGGACCAAATGTGGGTGGGAGCTGGTGTCAGTGGCGACAGGGAGAAGAACCAGCCTGCCTACCTTGTGGTAGCATCTTTGTCAGGTAACAGCATAGGCTTGCAACTGTGTTCCGGGAAGGGGAAGGTTACAACACCCTAGTAACCTTCAAAGGCCGTATGAAGTACGATTCTAATGCCCATAAAGGAAGGCTGCCAGCCTCCCCGAGCTCAAGGACTGGGGAAGCCTGTCTCCATAAGAGGCCCAAATAACAGAGATGAAAAACACATTAAAAGGGGGCGGGGATTTAGCTCAGTGGTTCCGCCACCTGCATTGCAAGCACCAAGGCCCCGAGTTCTATCCCCACTACAAAACAAAACAAAACAGATAAAGGAGCTTGACGGAATGGTAGGCACAGCAAAGGCCTTGAGGTTTCTGACTTCCTCTGCTTTGTTTATTTTGAGTTTTTTTGAGACTGTGTCTCACTATGTAGGTTCAGGATGGTTTTGAAGTTGCCATGGGATTCAGGCTGGCCTTGAACTTGCAGCGATCCTCCTACCTCAGCCTCTCGAGTGCCATGCGCCACGACACCTGGCTCCTTCCCCTGCTTCTTGGGGAGGAACTTGTAGAGCTGTTCTACCTGTTCCAGGTACTGTATTTGCTGCAACGGGGCCAACAGGGGGTTTTCTGAGCCTGCTCCTGCTGTTAGTGTTGCCTTTCATTTTCCAGGGCTGAAAACTTTACACAAGGCCAGAGCAGTCTCCTATGACACATGGGGCCCTGCTTTCCCAGTACATTAAGAAACTCCTTGTGGGAAAAGGTTGTGCCTGCAGCTATCTCTTGTTCTCCAGCCTTACTATATGAGGCATCTGCTCACAGAACGACCTGGGAAATGCATTGGAGACCAAAGATGTTTGGACAGAGGGCTCATTTTCCTTTTCCAGGCCACACAATTGAAAACTGCCAGTCACAAGTCCCAGCAGAAGTCTCTCAAGCAGCTCCCTTATCAGAGAGCGGCCTGGGATTCATCAGTGAGAAGGCCACTGGTCCATCCCTGTTGTGCTTTTCAAAGCTGCAGCCCCCAGACCCCCACTTTGGCCTTCCTCAGGGGTGTAGGGTGTATTGGATATTGAGGTTCTTTTACAGACAAAGCCTGTCTGCTCTCAGCTTGTCAGCAACTGGACATAAGGAAGGTTTCATCCCTGAGAACCTTCCATTTCTCCCTGGAAATTCTGGTCTTATGAAAGAGGCTGTCATGTTCACACCTTGCACAAATGTGGCGCTGGCACGTGGCCAGGCTGTGCTGTGAGGGCCAGACGTGCTGGAGAAACAAGAGGTGTGTGAGGGCAGTGGACTCGAGAGTCCTGTTCTCCACTGTTCATCCTGGGATTTTCAGCTCTATGAAGATCACAAAAAATATACTTGTTTTTAAACATAAATCTCCTTGCTTGTGCCAGGAACGAGGAAATGGAAAACTTTCGTTTATACTGAACTCATTTCTGGAGAGCCCCATGCATCGGAGACTGCTGCAATGAAGAGCGGCTCACAGGGAGGACGCAGCTGGAGACCAATGGTGCTGGGCGCCAGGAGGAGGTGAAGAGCGCACAGCTTCCCGAACGTGGGGGACACGTGAAGCTGCCACTTCCCAGGTTCCGGGAGGGAGCCTGAATCTGATGGGACCCTTTGTCCTTTTCCTGAGCCACTTGCCAAGGATGATTTGAGGGGTGGAGCAGCCCCTCCAACACGTCCAGACCCCTAACACCATGGACCCCAGCAGGACTCCACCAGGGTGTAGCACCCAGTGCCCTGCTCCTACCACGAGCACTCACCTTGTTGGTCAAGCATGAGCTGCTGCCCTGGATGCCAGCGGGGGTCCAAAAACCAAAAGAGACACCCCGCACCCACATACAAACCCAGGCTCAGACTGCGTATGAAAGCCAGAGCCCGCTGCATACTTTGGGCACAAACATGGCAGGCGGTATTCTCGGGCGACAGGCAGAACCAGCACAAATTTCTAGTATTCCAGCTCAGGCACAGTACCAGGCCTCTGTGAGGAGGCAGCCCACCCACCTGCCATCCCTGGAGAACCAAGGCCTTCTGCATGAGGCAGGAAAGAGCCTGCAGGCGGGCCCACAAGATCAGCCGTCTCAGGAATCTGGGGCTCTTCCATGCTCACAAGGCACAGCGAGTATTGTGACCTTCCTGGCCCTTTCTCAAGGGTCAATGCTGAGTTATTCTGTACCTCTCTGCAAATAGTGCACACCAAGCCCATGTGGGATGTGGGACTGAGAGGCCCATGTGCCTTGCAGGTGCGAGAAGCAGGAAGGAGCCTTGCCTTTGTGTGTGTTTCTACCTGCTATCTCTTGCTTTCCCTGGAAATCCCCACTCGCTCAGGCAGAGCAGGGGCGCCGGGCAGTGCTCTGTCTGCTTTGGTGCTGACCCAGGTCATGACTGCCAGGGCCGTTCTCCCAGAGGACAAACTCCAGAATCTTTCATGGACAGCAGCCTGTGGAAGAGGGCTCCATCCCACGGCTGAATGAACCTTAAATGGGAGTCCGCCCCCGCCAAATGGAAGGAGATGAGGGTGACGTGTGGACACCCACACCCTCCACTCCATGAGAAAGAGTCCACTGGCTTCTTCCAGGTCCTTACAGGCTGTGACTGCTGTGAGCTCTGAGGACAGACTGCGCTCCCTGACTACGGTCCTTCAAAGATGCCCTCAGAGGCCACCTTCCCACAGCGCGCAGATGTTCTGTCCCTTCTTCCCTTTTCCCAGCCTATGCAGCAACGACCACACACTCACCAAGCTCGCCAGCAGCCTTTATGTCCACATTGTCATAACCGCTGCCGATCCGCACGATCACTCTCAGGGCCTTGAACTTCTCCAGGTCCTCCCTGGTGAGGGTGATGGTGTGGTACATCATGGCACCCACGGCCTCGTTTAACACCTACACGGGGAGGCAGAGCACAGGTGAGAGGCCCCACCCTGTGCACCCCGCCCCCGCTGTCACCACAACCCTGAGCCCAAGAACAGAGGACTTTGTTAGGAACATCACTTGCAGGAGACATGGGGTGACATAATGGGGGAGGGATGTTGGGGAGGCTTCGTTGGGCACTGCAGAGGGGACAAGTGTTGTACTATATATGCTTGTAATGCCACTGGCCTGGGTGCACCCACCTTTTCGTGGATCTCCTGTGTGGACTGTGCGTCACAGAAGGCCACAGTGGCCAGGTCCTTCAGGATGGGCATCTCCACAGTGCAGTCTCTGCCATCCAACAGCGCCACCAGGGGGCGGGGGTGCAGGGGGCCGTTCATGATCTGGGGTCGGATACCTGTGGGGAGAGGGGAGAGGGGCGGTGGGCAGGTCAATATGACCCCTCCTCAGGCTACAAGGAAGGCTAACACCCCGACCACCCCAAGAGCCGCCGCTGAGGCCAGCTGTCAGTGGCCAAGCCAAGGAAGGTCATGAAAAATCCCCAGTTCCTCTCCACCCACCCATGGGGCTGCTTTGCAGGACTTACCTGTTAGGAGTGACATGCTATAGATCACTACGGCCAGGACTAAGCGGCCTCCCCGGGCGGAGGGCGTGGTGGAACAAAAGGCCTGGCCGAAAGATAGCCTAGCTCCCTTCTCACCCGTTCACCAAACAACATCAAACATTGTCTCCTACAGACCCTACACATTCTCCTTGTTCCAATCAAACATCCCCTTTCCGTTTCCTTGTCTACACTATAAATAAAGGTGCTAAAGATACAAGCCAAGCTCTCTGTCTCATCAGACAGAGTTTCCACCTAGCCTCAGCTAAGTTTCTTACTCTCTCACTACATAAACCCTTGAGCCATGTGGGCAGCCCCCACTTCAGAGTTCGCAGTAGGAAAGGTGCCTAGACCGGCTCTGTGGCCAGCTCAGCTCACCCTGGACACTGAGGGAGTATCTGTGCAGCGCATGTGAGCTGCTCGACAAAGAACAGTTCTGTCTGCTCGGTCTGTGGGGTGGGAGTGGAAATGGGCCTTGAGGAGCCATGAAAAACACTGAGGAGCTGACTGCACTGCCACGTGGGACTGAGGAACAGGTTGGTTTGGAGCGACACCCAACAGGGACAGTATGAGGCCTCCCCAGGCCACCCACGAGGAAGACGGAGCTTTGTTTGTGCCGCCCCACCGGCACCACCACCAGCTGCTCCTCAAAATAAGCATGACAGGACACGGAATGAAACTAGAAGGGACACGTGAAGGTGTCTTGCTCCGGGGGGACTTAGAAAAGCTGCTGGCAGAAATAGGCAGAGCCTTAGCTTGGCAGCGGCGCTGGGATGAGGAAAGGTGGGCCGAGGAAGGGGTGTGAGCAGAAACTGCTCAAGGACCTCCGGCTGGCTGTGCTGCTCAGCTTCCTGCAGCAGGCAGGGATGTCACTGCGGGAGGCAGAAGAGAAGGGCACAGGCCTGACTCAGGATAGGCAAGGAAGAGGCCAAAAGGCTGTGGTTTGCTGGACAGCAGGCAAGACTTTGGCTCCATTCTGTTCACCTGACAGGTTGGTCCCACGAGGCTACACATTGCCTTCCATGTTCCCTCCTCGTCCTCGGTAGGTTTGGGTCACAATGATAGGGAAAAGATACTTCAGGGGCCAACGGCCTGATGTCTTGAGACCAGACCTCTGGAGAGCCCCCTCTAACCCCACACCACATAGCAATGAAGAATTAAACTCACACAAGGGTATTGGCTATAGCAACAGTGTTCCCTTGAGAGATAAGGAAGAGGAGGCACAGACTCCTGCTTTGCTCTTTTTTTCTTGTTGTTGTTGTTTTTTTTTTCCAAGATAGGGTCTCTCTAAGTAGTTGACACTGATTGAATGAGGCCAAAAGGCTGTGGTTTGCTGGACAGCAGGCAAGACTTTGGCTCCATTCTGTTCACCTGACAGGTTGGTCCCACGAGGCTACACATTGCCTTCCATGTTCCCTCCTCGTCCTCGGTAGGTTTGGGTCACAATGATAGGGAAAAGATACTTCAGGGGCCAACGGCCTGATGTCTTGAGACCAGACCTCTGGAGAGCCCCCTCTAACCCCACACCACATAGCAATGAAGAATTAAACTCACACAAGGGTATTGGCTATAGCAACAGTGTTCCCTTGAGAGATAAGGAAGAGGAGGCACAGACTCCTGCTTTGCTCTTTTTTTCTTGTTGTTGTTGTTTTTTTTTTCCAAGATAGGGTCTCTCTATATAGTTGACACTGACCTTGAACTCACTATGTAGCCCAGGCTGGTCTCGAACTCACAGTGATCCTCCTGCCTCAACCTCCCGAGTGCTGAGATTACAGGCGTGCACCAGCAGCATATGTCTGGCTACTTTGCTCTTTTTTTCTAGGAAAGTTGTGAAGAGGCTAATTCCTAAAAGGGGTCTGGGTTGAAACATTGCCAGTACCAAACCAAGTGGGCCTGCATGGTGCAGAATACCTGATTTGACTTCTTAGGGGTGCAGGCAGGATGGTTCATCAAGAAGTGCATTACAACAAGAAGCTCAGGTGATTACTTAAGAAGTAACCACGTAAGAGAACAAGGCCAGGTACACGGCAGGAATCTGGGGACATCTGATGCCTATGAAAGGCTGAGAGCCACCGCCACAAGATGTCCATCCACAGCGTCAGTGCATGAATCTGTTACCAGGGAAACAAACTCCAGGTTGCCTAGCAATCAGCTCCCTCCCTGACTTTGGTCGCCTTTCTCTTTGGTGAAACCCATTCTTTGTTGTCCCCCTCAGCTGACACTGGTCCAGAGACCCTCAGGTTCACTGGCAAAAGGCCGGACACTTGGCAGAGGCTCGGGTCCAATATTGTAGAGACCTTTGGAGAAGGATACTGAGATGGTTAGGGGTGAGAGACTTCTATGTCTTGTAAGACACCACAGGCCTGGCACACGGCTGCTGAGGACCAGCTCTAAGGGGGCCACAGAGGACAAGGAAGAGTGTAGGGACATAGTCCCATGATCTGGGGTCAGATACCTGTGGGGAGAGAGGAAAGGTGCGGTGGGCAGGTGAAAATGACCCTGGGGCCTGTCCTGTACACTGCAAGGCCTGACACCCCGACCACCCCAAGAGCCACTGCTGAGGCCAGCTGTCAGTGGCCAAGCCCGGGAGGGTCATGTTCATGCACGCTGCCAAATCCAGAGTTAAATTTAGTCCTTCCTAACTCCTGTCCCCAGTTTTGCCAGAGGCCGGGAGATCGGATCTTCTATGATCAGCTCCTGATGAGATGGAGACAGAGCTCCCATCTTTCCTCACATGCCTTTCAACAACTATGACAAATCAAACCATTTTTACCACACGACTACAATGGACACATTACAGAGCAAGGCTCAAACATACTGAGATGGACACTGAGCACCAAGGGGACTCCGGGAAGTGGGATGAGCATTCAGGACCCTCACTGCCAAGTCTGTCTCCTCTACAGAGAGCAAAGTTTGGGGGTAGAAAGCCCAGGGTACAATGTTTCATGACTATTCTCTAAGAACCAATGTTCAGGACAAACTGCTGTGGCTCCCAATTAGTAGACACTGCTGAAGGCTTCTCCAGGAACAAAGACTGACAAGGACTTGGTGATATTATTATTCCTGTTTCCAGATGGTACTGAGAGTGGCTGCATACTGCAGCGCGCTTCAGTGAGGTCGCCCCATCCTGTTCCACATTGTGGGAAACATCTGCCTCAAGGAGAACAAGGTCCAGTGCCCGTCTGCGCAAAACTATTCAGCCTTTCCACTGATTGCCTCGCCCTGTCCATTTTCAGGACTTAGCGCTGAGAGCTTGCCCAGGATGAACTCTGCAGGGCAGAAAGTGCAGCCAACTCCCCTGGTTTCAATTACTGGCTGGTTCCAGGCTTGCCCCTACACTACAGAGGCTGTGCTTGTGTGTTGGGGATGCAGAGTGACACAGCTCGAGGCCAGGCTGCTATCTGTCCCTGGGCCTGGTGTTGCTTAGAGCAGAAGCTGCTCATAAATGTTGAATGAGTGAAAGTCAGGAGAAAACAGAAATAACAGCAGGCCACACTGCTGGCATTTGGTTCACAGTGACCAGGCAGCCAGGCAAGGCCAAGTCCAAAGGGCTCACAGATCGCAAGGAAGGGGGTCCACCAGGAAGGACGCTGGCAGTATTCTGGCACCCAACTTGGTGTTGCCACAGTGGGAAAGCAGCACCAGGTCTCATTTGGGGGAGCTGCAGGCCTGGCCCTCAGCACACACAGGTCAACAGGCTGGCAGGGGTAGTCCAATTTGGGACCCATGCAGGACAAACAGAACATGGTCCTCTGAGCATCACATCAAGAAGTAACCAGGTTCATCCTCCCATATACAAAGCTGTTCGGTGGCATCTCTGAGAGCCACTTTCTAGGCTGCCTGGACACTGAGTTAAACTCAAGAAATAACTCATTTTTAAGACACGCCTTAAATTGGTTTCTGTTGTTTGCAGATTAAGACTCAAACTGCTCTGGGCCATGATTTTGTTGTTTTTGGGATTTCAAGAATCTCAAAGATTTACCTCTAAGCAACGTAGCTTTGATGTTCACATCTGCTGTGGTCTGGATGTGGTCTGAGCATTTACCTATGGAGTCACATAGTGGGCATTTGGTCCCCAGTGTAGCAGTGCTCAGGTGTGGCAGTCAGTGAGAGGTCCTGAGGGCACGGGCTGGAGGGAGAGGGATTACCGTACCTCTTCATGGGACCCCAGTTAGTTCTCCCAGAGGGCTGTCAGGACAGTGACCATGACCCCACCACTCCTTTGGCTTCCTGTTCTACAACGCTGTCACCCGCTCTTGCCTGTCAGCTCCCACCAGGATGCCACCTTTCATCAGGGCCTTCACAGAGGCTGGACTATTGGCACTGCCCAACTGTGAATGTGCAGCCTCCCAAAGTATGAGCTACATCAGCACCCTTTCTTTAGCTGCCTCAGCTACTTCACGTATAGCAACGAAAAGTAGACTAAATACAATGTCTGACTCTGCAGACAGAGGCTGGCATTGTCTCCTTTCTACAGCTGACCACATTTCATGGATGTATTTGACTGCACTGGCCAAACCATTAGTCCTTGGCTGGTCAGGGTGATAGTCAGATGTGCAGAAAGACCCACTTGTGCTATTCACCCCTTACTCCTGGCAGGGCTGCAACTGCACAAGGCCAGAAGCTGTCCCAAGACCCCCTCTATTGGTGGGGTTGGGATCACTCAGGAGGACAGTTCCTTCCAGCTTACAGAATGGGGCCTTGTGGGTGGGCTGGAGGAGGCTAGAGGAATTCTCTAGATGATGGCACCCAGCTGTCCTGACTGCTGGCTCTGGAAAAAGCACCTTCTTGTCCTT